TTTGGCTCAAGTGCTTCTAGTCAGGAAAGTTTTGTGTGYCTTTCATAGAGCCACAGACTGGCCCAGACTGGAAGGGAATGTCCAGTCCAATCTTTTGTGGGAAAGGGAGCTTAGGTGATTGTAGCAACCTTGTCCAGTTGCATCTTGAAAACCTCCAGTGATGGAGACTTCTCCATCTCCCTGGGGACGTTATTCCAGTGAGTGATTGTTCTCACTGTAAAATGCTTATTTATTGCATTATGCTTTGTTTCTGCCCTGTGAGTATATTTTTTAAACTCACCTTTGCCTGGATATGATTTTTCTTGKTTTTTTTTAGCTGGGAAAAAAAAATCAGAGTGAGTTTCTTGGTTTAATAGCATTTTGCTTTGCTGCTTGTGGTGTGGATCTGGTGCTTTTGTTGCTCTTCAAAATCCACGTGTTGGTAGTGATGGGATGCAGAGGACTTTTGGATGGGGCAGGGATCTCTGGAGGTGGGCAAGCCTGACCACTGATAATGGGGTATCTTGTCCTTTGTACCATCAATAATTGTGCTTCTTGTTCTCTGTACCTCATTGATTTCTAGGCTTTAAGGTCATGGTGCTTGTTTTGTCTGACCTGCTGTATAACAGAGAGTCCTTGAATTAATTTCCATTCTGCAGTCAGCAGTTGTGAATAGAATCATGCATACATTATGGGGGGAGCAAGAGAAACRAGGTGGAAGCATCCCATCCTATTTTAAAAATTGCCAGTGCTGGATCCTTGGCCATGTCACTTGGAGGACTTTTCTCTRTGTTAATTACCACCAGTGTTGAAAAATGTTGTAGTTGTTTCTGGTTTGTTTTCTGTTGAGCTTCAACTTTCAACCTTTGGTCTTGTTATGCCTTTGTCTGGCGGGCTGAGAACACTCTTCTGACAGGTACCTACAGGCTGTGAGGTGCCTTTTAACTTTCTCTTTGATTGACTTCCTTGAGCTCCTTGCTACAAGCCYGGGTTTGTTCTTGTGGTTGTCCTCTGAACTCTCTCCAGTTTTTCCAGCAGTGTTCTTGAAGTGTGGGTGCAAGTATTAAACCTCACACTCCCATCAGCTGTGCCAGCCCAAGGCCTGAAGATAACAGGGCCTCTCTGCTCTACGTGACATCCCTGGGCTGCAGAGCTGAGCACCATGGACCTGCCTCGCGAGCTCACGTTGGGCTAATTATGCCTCTTACCTCAGCCAGTCCTGTAGGTCTCGTATGTTTAAAAAGTTTCCATGTACCCATTTCTTTAATATGCCAAGCGTCTCTTTAATCTTTTTGATGTATTTTTTTTTCTTGGTTTATATTCTGAAAGGAATTTTAGTCCAGCCTCTCTCACTGTACCAGCCACATGTTAAAAATCTTTACCTAGCTGAGAGCTGGTAGGAATGTGTTTTACAGAGCTGGGGGAAAGAATTTSTTTCTTTCAAGAGGGAAATAACTCTGAGGTGTATTCCAGTGGGTGGTGGGACAGGACAGATGCATTCCACTGGCGCCTAGGTCCTGCAGGCTTTTTCGACCTCTTCAGCTCTTGATGGATTGTCTGTCCCATGGGGATTAACCATGCAGATGGTTAACCTGCACACTCTGTGCCAGTCAAACCTGTCCTTGCTGGCTATGGAGTGTAGCACCAAGTATGCCTGGGGGTCATGGACTGGCTGCCCTCACTGGGGATTTGGGCCAGTGCTGGTGAATTTCTAGATGTTAGACACAGAGACCTGACTGTATTTTCATTTGAGGTGTTTTTATTATTGGTTCTATGTTGTTTCTTATATATAATGATTCAGAGGAAACAGAGGTGTTGATCTGATGGGGAGCCTAGAAAGCTTTCTGGTAATAACATCCAGATGTTTCCTTAGCACATCTGCTTAAGCCACTGTTGAAGTCAGTGCYTTCTGCAGTGCTGCTGGCGTGTTTTACTGCCTGCTGCTGTGTGTGATGCTAATTTATGAGTAATGCAGAAATGGAGGAGGGGGGAATTTAGCAGCAGAAGCAGGGATAACCAGCTGCCAAGGAAGCGTGGGAAAGGAAGGCAATCCAGACTGTAACCCAAATTATTCTTGCTTTTTCCATTTGTGTAGGGTGTTTGGAAGTAGTCTTGCATGTAATTGTAAGTACTGTGCCCCAGGTTTGCCTGGTTACAGGTCACTGTGTACCTGTGCTGTTGCAACTCAGCCATATGGGCAAGACATTTGTCTGTCTGAACATTGGCTTCAKCTGAGAGCAGGGCAAGCTCTCCTTGTGCAGCGACTGATGTGTGAAAAGATACTCCTGCCCTCCCCTCATTAGTGGGAAGCTTTTTCTCTCTCTGGTTGTATCTGTTTAGCACTTCAACACCACCTTGCTAATCCCCGTGCCAGGATTGTCAGCATGTGGTGTTCCTCCAGGGAGGGTCAACCTTGGGACAGCTCAGCTGCCTCATGCCAGGGCTTTGGGCAGCCAGGATGCTACTGGGCGCTGTGCTTTTAATGTCACTGTGTCAGCCTTGTGCCCTGCCCAAGGGAATACTGCCAGCAGCCTGAGGATAATGTTCCATGAGTCCCCGTGCCCTGAGCCATGCCGTGTCTTTCTAGGATGCACATTGTAAACCTTCAGTCGCAGCCCTTCCGATATGAACTCAGATCTGGTGTGCACAACCAGGGAGCTCCTTACACCACACTGCTCTCCTTCCTGTTCCTCAATGATTTCTGCTGGTGGCCGAATTTCGGTGTCACAGAGAGCGTGCCTTCAGAGCAGACCGGTTTGTAGTGCTCACTGCAATGTAATGACGTGGATTCCTGGTCTTGAAAGGCGATGGCAGCCACAAAGGCTTTGAAGAAGAAAGGCTGGTGTGTCACCTCCCTCCAGGGGCAGCGAGGTGACATTGGAGGTTATGCAGGTTAAGATGGGGARAGAAGGTGGAAATGTGTGGTTGGGGTGTGGCAAAGCCCTTCTGTGAGGAGGAGATGCTGGTGTGGTCGGTGCCTGTGAGATGAATGGCCAAAGGCGTAGATCTCATCCTATCCCTGTCTCTTCTCTCTAATGTGTGACACAGCACCATGACCTGGCCAAGGATGGGCCATCAGGGAGCAGCCCTAGGGTGATTCATGGAGTGGAGGTGGACATTGTACGGCCCCAGAGGAGCCTGCAGCACCTTGGTGTGTGTGTGTGTGGTCCTTTGGAGTGTAAAGGCTCTGAAATAGCACTGCAGGTCTGGAAGCAYGAGAAGCAGCATGGCTTGTAAATGTTTGTCACCTGAACACAGAAAGCAGCAGGAGTTGATCAGAAAGACCCATTTCTGAAGCTGTGGATGCTATTGCCATCCCTGTGGCTTGGGGCCTGTTTCCAGTTCCCATCTTCTTAGCTGTCCTTCCCATGCTCCCAACAAGTTCTGGCACCATTTCCTTCCACTGCACCAGCTATGATCTTGTTTCTTCTGGCAGTGAACCACCCTGGTTTGKCTAGCAAAGGTGTGTTTGAGCATCAGTGTGCCACATCCTGCACCCAAGAGAGGGGTTTGTTTCTTCAGCAGCATAGACCAGCTCTCCTGCTTCTCACAGAATCACATCAYAGAAAGGCCTGGGCTGGAAGGGACTGTAGAGATCATCTGTTCCACCCACCCTGCCATGGGCAGGGTCTCCACTTCACTGCAGGTCTCTCTAACTAGGAATATTAAATCTGGGTAGGACCAAACACCCAGGGATGTAAGAGATCTCTTCTTTTATGGAGCTAAATTACAAGTTATTCCCAGCTGCCTCCTAAACCTGAGTTAGTTTCTATGTCACCTGCCCTGGCAATCCTCCTCAGTTGCTGGGTTGGAGTGAATTTGCAGGTCGTTCCTAATAGGATAGGGCTGCTGGTCTCTTCTTTTGCAGCTCTTCCCACCCAAAGAAACCCTGTAGACATCTTCACTGTGTTGATTCTTCATCTCTTTCAAATGTCCCCTAATCACAGATGAAGGCTGCTTCTGTCTTTCTTATACCATTGCTCTGGGCTGCTTGTGTCTGGCCAGGGTCCACTGGAGGGGCTCTTGGACTTCATGAAAGTCTTTAGATAAAGTACTTAAATGCCGTGTTTGTGTTTCTCTCTGTACACACACACACACACACACACACATACAGAAGTGCAATTTTTGATAAACTTAGAATTTTATCTGTATGTGATTTTTGTAGTTGTTCTTGCCTCATCATTGGAGCAGGATGTTATACCCAGCAGAGCAATGTCTGCATTAGTATAATCAACACACAGTGTAGTCATTTTGCTAGTCTGTGAGAGTCTGTAGTTGAACACTTAAATTGTGTTAGGGTAGAATTTACATATAAAGCTAACTATATTGTATTGTGTATTAAAATCCACTTAATTTGATTAAAGTAGCTCAATGTTTCCTTTGTTGGCATTTGAGCTGACTGTGACTTTGTCACTAATCCGGTGCTGTTCTGCAGTTGAATGCACCCTCAGGAGACAGTCAGCTTCAGTAAATCCTCCTTTTTGGRAAATGTGTATTAAAAATTTGGAGAGGGTTGACTACTGACAGTACATCTAAACTGTCTGACTCCATCTGCATTTTGGTTTGTATTTGAAAGGAGTCTTTGTTTCTAATGGAAGTTATAATACCAAGTGTAAAAGTTTATGACTCCAAAGGGAAATTTTCCAGCTGTTGGAACAAAATGCTTCAAGTCAAAAGGAGTTTCAATTTAGCAACCTTCAAAATTTTAGGATTTTTATATTTCTTTCCACTTATTCAGAGTGGTAGAAAAAAACATCAAGATCTTAAAATCCCACAAGGATGATAGAATTAGATTTTTCAGCTTTCTTTGACATCTCTTGTTCATCAGTGTTCAAGCAGTACCTTCCGTTGGCTGAATCCGAGGCAACARGATGTTCTTTTGTCAGTTCTGTGAGGTCAGGGTGTCCTTTGAAGGGTGAACCAGACATCACTCCCTTTGATACTAACAGAAATCATGTATAAAACCTGAAGGATTGTCAGTCTGTCCTGATCCAGATACTAAAACTGTGTTTTCTTTATAGGTGTATCCGCTGTTTGGATGATGAAGCTTGATGAGCTGTGATTTGGTTTGGATTACAGTATTTCAGAAGACTTTCTGAACTTGCCAGACAACTCTTCCCCTAGACTTTGGGGACAGTGGAGCTTAASTTTATATCTCCAGTGTCACACAAGGAGAAAGAGCAGAGTTGGCTGCTTTGCACAAGTAATGAAAATCAATGCTGTGTTGCTCTTGGGAGGAATGCTCAAAAGGAGAAAAGCCTGGCGTATAGATCTCCCTTTAGAGACAGATTTTGCCTGGGAGGAGCATGCCCAAGGGAAGACACAGGAAGAAGAGGTGATGCTACAAGCCATTTCCTGGCCTCCAGAGTGGGACTGAAGCTTCTTAACAAGGTAAACAAACCCCCAAAACMCTTTCTTTGTACCTCTCTCAAATATCCACCAGACAAGAAGTGAGATGAGTAATGAGTCCCTGCATTGAGTAGTTTCTCCTACTGCCTCCAGTCTGTCTCCTCTTCCCCACTTCCTGTGTCCTGTGTCACCCATGCCTTGAGCAGGCTTCATGTAAAAATCATCAGCAAATACCTACTGCCCTAGTTGTTCCTATATCTAAGACTTAATTTTTAAGCGTCTCTGCACACACACACAAATATTAAATGTGTTGTTTCTGGAGGATGCTTTGTGCCCTTACTTTATGCCTGAGGAACTTGCTGCTCTGTTGTTGTCAGTGAGGATGGCAAGTCTCTCACACTGTTTGCACTGCACTGTTTGCAGCTCCAGCTCTGGAGCATGACAGTGATGTATTTTCCAAACTGATGAGATACAGAGAGAGCTGAGATGTGTGGGCTTATCACATTGCTTCGTCCAAAGCCACAAGAGGAGAAAAGCAGGAGATACAGCAGAATTACCTGTTTTCAATTTACTACCTTCAGAGAACTGAAAATCATTGGTGGAAAAGAAAGTTGAAGTTTGATTTATTTTTYGGCTTCTTTCCTGCTGCAAGTGTTTTTCCTCATAAACATGCATGGTTCCTCCCATGTTGGGCCCTGGGCTCTGGAGTGCTGGAAGGATTCCTTGGAGGAGAAAGCTGGTTAGGGTGACAGAGGGGTGTCAGGCTTGGTCTGTTCTAGCTGCACGGGCACAAGGGCCATGTGGCTTTCCTGTGCTGCACTTGGTGCACTCTGTGGTTCATGTGAAGGCTGTGTGGTGGTGAGGGTGAAAAGGGTTCATCAGACGCTTCCTCTGAGGCTGGTATGTGTGATGTTGCCATGAAGGCCATACCAGTGTGTGCATGGGGACCTGTATTGTCGTGACAATATTCCCCAATAAATTTGGCAATGCTAAAACATGCTGAATTGAACTACACTGAGATGAAAGTCCCCTCCTTTTCTTCAGATGAGAGATTGCCTGGCTGTCCCTCACCCTCATGTCTCAGCACTGAGCTGGAAGGACCATCACTGTGTTAGAGGTTTTTAACCTCTGTGACTCATTCAGTTGTTGGTTTAACTGCTGATTTTTCCAATGAGAATGCCATTGACATGGGTAGATATGGTGATGGGAAGATACCACTGTCTAGGAAGCAACAATAATTTCACATCAGTGAAGAGAATATCTATGACTAAGTGTGTGTAGCTGCTGCATTTCTAAAGCAGATTTGAATCAGAGAGAGGAAGGACTGTTTGAGAGTCTGGATCTGGCCCAGTTCCTTGGAAGAACCACATTAAAATATTGGTACGTTAAGGCTGAGTTTCTGTTTCAGAGTGGATGTTCAGATGTTAATCTTGTGTTTGAGAGTGAAATTCCCCCGTTTAAAGGTGATAGTGAGAAAATGGGTGATACACATTAAACAGCACATGCACTGTTGGAAGTGAAAGAAGGTAGAAGTGGCTGTACAGAGTGAGACCACCTAGTTTGATATCTTCCTTGATGATATCTAAGAAAGACTTAGAAGAGGATATCTAAGAATGACTAAGAAAGAGCACTTTAGGAATGAGCCTTCCTCCTCAGATCCTTGCAGAATCCAGTGGTCAAATGTGCTTAAGCGTTTCTTGGGAGTGTCCTTTATGTCCATTTGTTCCTGTGGATCAGATGCTCYTGTCCTGCTCAGGTTACAGAGTTCATTACTCTGAGCAACCCAAACCACGCAGTGTCTGGCCCAGTATTGTGTTTATGTGGATTAGCTGAGRTCACCTAAATCAGAGGTGCTAAATTGGGCTTGGCTGGGGGACATCACAGCACCTGGTGGGCTGCTTGTCCTGCTGTAATGACCAGGAGATAGGAATCACCCTCAGTCCTGTGTAATTGTGTCATTTAACCCCTCCACTCTTCCGTGGAAAAGCAGCTACTGGTGCTTCCTACAGAGCACCAKTCGTATCTGTGGGTGTGAATTCCGGTGTAACAAGTAGGATTTAAAGAGAGGAACAGACCTTAGGAAATCCTGTGTAGCTCAGTCTTTAATTGGTCATGTAGGACTGTTGTCTCCTTGTTGGCTCAGTGCTTAAAAGAGAGAGATACAACTGCTTGTATCTCACAGGAGCCTCTTCCAGGTCTCCAAAGAAGAATAGAATGTAATTTGGCACTTATTTCATTGCATCAGCTTTTCTGGGTCTGGGAGTGCTCTTAGCTCAAGCAAATAAATTACCCGTCTCATTTTGCTGCATGCTCTGCAGCCAGCCATATGTTTGAGGCTGATAGAGATCCTTATCTTATAGGCTAAAATTACTGAATGGAGGATGACATTTCTTATCAAGGGCTTTGCTGAATCAGAGAGTGGCCCTGGCACCCAGCTCTGAGACACCACTCCTCTTTGTCCATCCTCCCAGCCCAGCAATAAATGGATTTGTGTCTGTAGGTCAGAGGCGCCTATGTCAAGGTTGTGTTGCAGATGGAAGCTCTAAAAGATTGTCTGTGTTCCTGGAAGGATGTGGGCTTGAAGAGGAGAAGCAAGACTTTTCATGTGACTAAAACAGGGCATCTGAGGCTTTGCAAATACATCTTCACTTGGAAGTCCTTGTTTGCACAGCTGATAACTTCAGGCGTCACATCCAGGGACCCTCTTCTCCCACTGCACAAAGGCTTTGCTTCAGCTCCGTGGTGAGAAAAGCCATCCCCACCTACTGACAGCAGTAGCTTTTCTCCAGACATAGAGCTTGCATCTATCCATCCTCCCACTTCTTAAAGGACGGGTTATTTTCTTTCCTCTCTTTCCATTTCTGCCTTTAAAGGTTACCTGCTAGCCACTAATGAGTCAAAGGATTGTCTGGGTGTTTGTCAGCTAGGAGAGAGACAGAGAAGCTCCTCCTTGTAGCTTTTTCCCACCAAGCACCCACCTTTTGCCTTCTCTTTGCCCCTTAGTGCAGAGCTGACAGTGTGGGATGTTGAGCTTCTGCAATGCATCTGGGAAAAGCTCTTGATGGAGAGTGGAGGGATTCTCCAGTGGACTTGGTGAGCTGCCCTTTCCCCTCGCTGAGCACTGTCCACAAGGGCAGGAGCCCTCCAGGGTGGGAAGCAAGACTAGCCACCCACCCACCCAGCCACCCAAGCATGTCAAATTCTTCCTAAGAGGTTCCTGAGAAAGGCATCTCTGAATTAGCATGTTTTTTTCCTAGCAGAAGGGCGTCCTGCACAGGACAGGACTCTCATAGTGTTGTACTAAGGGCAGGGTCATCTCCTCAGATCAAAATAAATCTGGTRAAACACTGTCTTTGACAGAGAGAGACTGAATATGCACCATCGATTTCTTCTGCTAAATGGTCTCAGAAGATGAGTATTTCAATCTATCTGTGACAGTAGCAAGATATTTCACTTCCCCTCTAATTGCAAGTGTCTTCAAGCTGGCCCATGGCAGCCATGCACAGCACAGCAGGAGGTCAAGTCCCGTGTGTCCAGCAGAAGCCATTCTTAGGTCAGTGTAAGAGTGGTAACTGTGTCCAGTATAGTGAGGATATTGTGGCTGAAGGTCCCATGATGTTCACCCGTCCTGGCTCAACCCTGGCATGCTCTTGGAAGGAGGGGACCCAGCTTCGAGCGATGGTGCCCAGAGAAGCCCATTGTATTTTGAAGAGTCAGGTCACCAGCACCTCTTTTTGCAGTGCCCCACGAGATGCCCAGAGCTAGCAGCCCTCTCTGGTGTGGCAGTGGGCCAAGCTGTTCTTTAAGTGACTCCTTGGGGAGGCTGCTCTGCCCTCTGCAGCAGCTGGCACCTTTGTCAGCCTGCAAGAAATGCTGGGGCTGACAGGTGTAGCATGTCTGGGGTGCCCCATCCCCACGATAGGGTGGCAGGGGTCAGAGAGCAGGACAGTGCCACCCTTCTCGTGGATAGCACCTCTGGGGATTTGCAGCTGTCTTCCTCCTCTTGAAACACCATCCGCAGAGTGATTTTCAGGTTTTTCCTGAGTTCTGATAGTGCCCAGCGCCCATCACAGCTTGCGGCACGGGGGTCTCAGGCACCTGCAGGTGCTGTCACATTGGGCTGGGTCCTCCCTCCTTCAGACCTTTTCTGTTCACCATTTCCCCCCTGAATTGTGCTGAGTCACCCCAACCTCATTGGTGACCTCAGTGGAGCAACCTCAGGCCTGCCCATCAGCCTCTGGCCCTGCTCCAGCATTGAGCAATCAGTGCCCTGAGGTCATGCTGGGATGGAGTCTCCAGGGCAGTGGATGACCAGCTGGCCCTTGGGCTTCGCTCCTAGCTGTGTCCACACAGCTAGGAGCTGTGTTCCATCGTACCCCATCCACAGCCATGCTTTCCCCATTACCTGGCTTCTGCTGAGGTGGCTGTTGATCCCCTGTTTGCCTTGGATGCAGTGCTCTCCCGTGCTGTGGGAATAACTGGTTGTCTAAGTGGAGGATTGGGGAAGTTATGGGGATGTGCTGTGTTTAGGGCTAGTGACCATCTGAGGTGACCAGCTGGTAACTCCGAGTTGTCAGCCTGGCCTGTCCTGCTGGAGGCCTGCTTTAAATGAAATTGCAGGATCAGGTTTGATTTGTAAAAGAATGAGGAGAGGGGCTTCCCTCCAACTGCTGACTGCATGCTCAGCCTGTCCATCATCTCAGGCATCGTGTGGGGCTGTGACTTTGAATTGTCACCGATAACCTCRGTGAGGTGGGCTCTGGCAGCGCACSMACGGTGTGCACCTCACCTACCTATGGAGTGCACCCCAGATACTTGTGGTGTGCACCCCATACACGCACAGCATGCACCCTACACACGCCCATGCTGTGTCCTGCACACCCACAATGTGCAGCCCATGTTCCCATGGCATCATGGCACACATCGTACCCCATACACAGGGCATTCCCAGTTCCGTGCACCCCACAAGCTTGTTGGGATTCTKTGCTGGGTAGCAGTGCTTGAGGTGATGAGGAGAGCCCACTCCTTTGCTTTCAGTTCCC